TTCTCTTGCCTCAGCCTCCCAAGTAGCTGGGACTACAGGTGCCCGCCGCAATGCCAGGCTATTTTTTGTTGGAGTTGCCATTATTGCTTAGCTGGCCTGGGCTGGTTTGAATCCACCAGCCTCGGTGTATGTGGCTAGAGCCCTAACCACTATGCTACAGGTACCAAGCCTTTATCCTCTTTTTTCTTTCTTTTCTTTTCTTTTTTTTCTCTCTCTTTTCCTTTCTTTCTTTCTTCTTGGATACAGGGTCTTGTTCTGTTGTCCAGGCTATAGTGAAATAACACAATCATAGCTGACTTTAGCCTCAAACTCTTGGGCTCAAGCAATCCTCCTGCCTCAGCCTCCCAGTTGCTAGAATTATAGGTACCTGCCACCACTCCCAAATACTTTTTAAAATTTTTTGTAGAGATGAGGGTATTGCTATGTTGCCCAAGTTGGTCTCGAATTCCTGGTCTCAAGTGATCCTCCCACTTTAGCCTCCCAAAGTTCTGGGATTACAGGCGTGACACTATACCTGGTCTAAAGTCATATTTTCTACAATGTCTGCTGATATCAAGTTCCGTAAACCACCTGCCTTACTCATTCCCAGAACAACTTCTAAGAATCTCTATACCTGACTTGGCACCTGTGGCTCAAGCGGCTAAGGCACCAACCACATACACCTGAGCTGGAGGGTCTGAATCCAGCTGGGGCTGCCAAACAACGATAGCTGCAACCAAAAAATAGCCAGGCATTGTGGCGGGCACCTGTAGTCCCAGCTACTTGGGAGCCTGAGGCAGGAGACTTGCTTGAGCCCAGAAGTTGGAGGTTGCCGTGAGCTGTGATGCCATAGCACTCTACCCAGGGCAACAGCTTGAGGCTCTGTCTCAAAAAAAAGAATCTCTATACCTATCAGATCTTCACATTCTCATCTTCTTTTTCATACAAACCTGGGACCCAAGTATAGACACAGATCTTTATTTACTTCCAGGTATCAAATAATTGATATCAATCACTATTCATGGATTAATCCATTGAATCCTCCTTACTTGTAAGGATCATGCTTGCTGTACCGATAGGGAAACTGAAGCACAGACAACTTAGGTATTTTACCCATGGTCACTGGAACAGGGCTGGGATTCAAACCTAAGGAGACAGATGCCAGAGCTCAGAGTCTAACCACTGTGTCACACAAAAGAGACTTTTTAATCTTCAGCTCTGAAGTTAACCAAGATTGGTAAAAATAATTGTTAGGGAGTAAACTATAGACTAGCCCATGACATACTCCACTTGAACATGTCCATCCCATATTGTCATCTGCCTTCAGCAGACTCAGCTGGGCCGCCATGGTGGTCCTCTGCTCTGACTCAGATATGCCCCTATACCAGGCAGCTCTGCTCACCTAGGAGTACCTAGGATAGGCATGGGTGGTAGGGCTTCTGGGGTTGCAGTGGGTGGTAGGACCCTTCATAAAGAACAGAGGGAGAAGGGAACTGGAAACTAGCATTCTTGAGAGCCAGAGATGGCAACTCATAATCTTCCCTGAAATGCTGGCCCTGTGAAACGCTTGCTCCCTGCACCCCAGTTGCTCATCCTGAAACCCCTTAGACTTCTCGCCCCACCAGCCCCTCTGTCTGCCCTACTATATACCCTTCCTACCAGAAGGTGTCACCTAGATGCTCAGGGCAGGAGCATTACATAGCCTTCACTCCTAAGGCCCTATAGCACTGACCACAGAGTATAGGAGAGAAGGACTTGACTTCTGTTAACTGGTCACAAACAATATGCTAGAGAAAGTCACTCTGTGCCTCTCTCCCTCCTCCCCACCCTCATCTTCCTCTCCTCTTTTTTTCCCTCCTCCTTCTCATACCCCTGACCCCGTTCTGTTCTAGAACCTAAATAATAGCACCTGAGTGGGGCAAAGAGAACAATCTACAATTTCAAGACCACTCAGATTACCTTCTCACCTCCATTCTATTCCAAGTGACTCCTCCCTGTACATCCCTCTCCATGAAAACCCACTTCTCTACCCTTGGGCTTCCTTGGAGAACAGGAGCAGGCCCCAGGTTAGACCCTCCTCAGGCTGATGGATCATGTTCCCTGCAAGGGAATGGAAGCCAGGCTTGGCCCCAGAACCACATCCTCTAAGAACTCAGATGCATCCCAAGGTACTTCTTGTGTAAGAGGTTTGAGTCCTTTGGACACACCTCTACTTCCACAGAGCAAACAAGAGGGACCAAGTGCTACTGCCTTAGGGTTGCTATGTATTAAACACCTATTGTGTGCCAAGCAACTGCAAAGTAGTGTGCTAGGGCTCAGTGCCTCCCCCTCTCCCACTGCTGCCAGGCACCATTCTAGGCATATGAGCTACCTTGGCAAAGAGGTTTCTCTATGAGTACATATTGCTTATCGTTTCTACTTGACAAATAGAGCAAACTAAGGCTAAGAGTTTGCCCCCAAGTGATGAAGCAGAGGTGCCATTTTAAGAAGCTTAATTCCCAAACCACAATGTCACCTGCCTTTTCTCTCCACTGGAGGAGTGGGTTTGTGAGTCTGATTCAGGCTGGGAATCCCTGAAATGCTTTGGCAGAGGAGGGATGAAGTCAAGTCTACACACCTAAGAGTCTTAAGAGGTTTAGTCCTCAGTATACAAATGACCCGTGGGGCAGGCAGAGTACTCAGGGGCCTAGGGAACACACAGACAGTAGATGGAACTGGAAGTCGGGCGCGTGGTTCATGCCTGTAATCCTAGCACTCTGGGAGGCTGAGATGGATGGATTACCTGAGCTCAAGGGTTCAAGACCGGCCTGAGCAAGAACAAGACCCCATCTCTAAGAAAAACAGCCAAGTGTTGTGGTGGGAGCCTAAATCCCAGCTATTTGGGAGGCTGAGGCAAGAGAATCGCTTGAGCTATGACAGCATGGCCCTCTACCAAGGGTGACAAAGTGAGACTCTGTCTCAAAAAAATGGAGCTGTGTGTCTCATGGGTGATAGGATGTGAGAGTGGGGAGCATGAAGCCAGGCCTTTCGGGATAGGGGGACACAAAGTGGCAGAGCTGAAAGAAGAGTGAAATCTGGACAGGGAACAGGCTGTTCAGAAGCTCAGAGGTGGGAAGGATTCCGAGACAACTCAGAAGATGACAGGTATGATTGAAGGCTGGGAGGGAGCACCAGGAGCAGGGCTGTGTGTGCAGAACGGAGGGTGGGCTGTGTTAGCTGCCGATGGCTGAGGAGGGGAGACCGGAGCTAATAGGACATCAAGAATCCCCTAGCAGAGTAACAGCAAGATGCAAATGGCACTGGCAAGGTGCAAATGGTGCTCAGAGATGATTCTGACAGCATGGGGTGTGGGACCAGGGGAGACACTGGGAGCTATCACAGAAGCCCTGTGGAGGGCCTGGCTCAGGGGGCAGCTATATTTGATCACACTAGCCCTCACTCCCACTCACCCACAAGTCTTCAAGAGAAAATGCTCCTGAATCCCTCCCTCTTTCATGCCTTTGTCCAGATTATCTGGCTCTACTTACTCCTCCCTAATGCCACAATTTTGTAATACAGGGCTGGAGACGGGGGACGAGGTCACTCCTTTGTGAGGGGTGACCAATGAGTGATTTAGAAGAGGATGTGGGCTCGGCGCCTATAGCTCAACCGGCTAAGGCGCCAGCCACGTACACCTAAGGTGGCGGGTTCGAATCCCCAGCCCGGACCCGCCAAACAACAATGACGGCTGCAACCAAAAAATAGCCAGGCGTTGTGGCCGGCGCCTGTGGTCCCAGCTACTTGGGAGGCGGAGGCAGGAGACTCGCTTGAGCCCAGGAGTTGGAGGTTGCTGTGAGCTGTAATGCCATGGCACTCTACCCAGGGGGACAGCTTGAGGCTCTGTCTAAAAAAAAAAAAAAAAAGAGGATGTGGTGGGTGATTTCAAAGGAGGACCAGCCAGAACTCCGGATATGCTGTCAGTTATTTGGGTCAGGGGGCTTGGCATCTCTGGGAGAACCTCAAGGGGGGCTATGCCTGGGCCATAGTGCCCCTCATAGTCCTAATGAGGCAGGGATCCTAGGCCAGTCACAGAGTGACTGCACTAGGCAAGAATCTCCCCTTTGCCACCCAAACCCTCTTACTGCCCAGGGCAGCCTTCCCCTCAGCTGGTGGAACCTGGGGGGAGATCCAGCCCTTAGAGAAGTCAACCCCGCCTAACCCTATGTGACATGAGGATTTGGGGGTGGTAACCCCCCAAATACTTCCTCCTCCTTCCCTGCTGGGCTCTAAAATCTCACAGTGTTCTATTCCTTTGGCTTAAGATTTTGGACCCAAGTTATCGTTTTTTTAAATGGTGCCTCTTTAAGTTGTTATCATTTATCCACGCCTCAGTATGACTGATTCAATCTGATTCTTTTCCAAGAGTTGATTTTGTCGTTTTTGGAGGGGAAGGAAAGCTTTAGAATCCTGGGGTCTAGGACAGTGGGTGGGTGAGGGAGGAGAGGGAAAGGATGCTGGGGCAAAGAAGAGGAAGCATAAGAGAGGAAGGCACAGGAGGGAGTCTGGGATGGATGGGGCAAATCACTGACTTCTCTGTTTGGGGAGGGGTTGATCTACGAAGCCGAAGGGGAGACCCTGGTGTAGCCTTTCACCACCTCCCTCTCCCTACTCAGGTGTCTGGACCCCCGTTCCTGTATCTTCCTGCCTCTTCGAAGCAACAATCTGAAGTGCAAACTTTCTGGGATATGACCCCAGCCTGGCTTGCCATTTTGCCGTCGCCCCCCGCAGCTGGGCAGGGGCTCCTGGCCGACAGGCAGGAGCGCTTCTTGGAGGAGAGGACACCGTGGGAAGGGGGCGCGCGGAGATAGAGCTTCCAAGCGGCAAGAGCTGTGGGGCTCCGGATTCAGGGGCGGGGCAGGGGGGACCCATCCAGCGGGCGGCTCACCTGCAGGACACGGTGATCTCCACCTTGGTGGCCGGGATGCTGCCCGCCAAGGAGTCGAACTCGCTCAGCGACGCCATGTCCTCGGGCTGCTCCATCGCCCACCGCACCCCCACCCCAAATTAGTCAATCCCTGCGCGATTCACGCCTCCTCCAGAGCGGCTGGAGCCCTGGGCTCTCCCCCAACTCCAGAGCCAGGGCTGGGCGGCAAGGGGAGGAGAGAGGAGCTCGAAGAGGGGGCGTGGGAAGTGAGAGAGGGAAGAGGGCGGAGGGAGCGGGGGCAGCGAATCCAAGAGGGGGCTCGGGTGACGCCGCAAAGAGGCTAGGGGCCCAGCGGGAGGGGCAAAGAGCCCGGGAAGCTGGGGCGCAGCGGGGAGAGGCAGAGAGGGGCGCGGGGAGAGGGTGCTGGGAGGAACGCGCAGAGTCGTGGAGAGGGGAACAGAGAAAGGGGCGTGCGTGCAGCCGTGGGCCGGGGTAGAGGGGCTACGGGAGACCGGGAGAGGAGCCTGGGGGACTGGAGGGGCCGGATGGGGCGCAGGCGGCGGGGGTGGCGGGGCGCGGACAGCGCGGAGCCCGGAGCGCCTGGGCTGCGCCGCCTTTCGCTGGGTCTCGGCGCGGGCGGCAGCGGGGTTGAGACGCGGTTGCAAGCGCCACTTGCCAGGCTTGGGCTCCGGCTCCGGGGTGCCCGGGCTGCGGGAAAATCAAATCTGCCCGAAGACGCCGCCTCCCGCCACCCGGGGTGGGCTGTGTGCGGACCCGCCAGCGCCGGAGGGGGCGCCCGCAGGGGCCGGGGCGGGGCCGCGGGCGGGGTCTGCGCGCAGTGCGAGCGTGTGTGAGCGTGTGAGTGTGTGTATGTGCGTGGCGGGCATGGGGACGCGGCTTCAGATGCTGGGGACGTGGAGGGTGACAGCCAGAGATGGTCCCTGTCGCGGGCGTCTTTTGCGTGCGCCCGCTACCCCACCTCCCATTGGGGGGTCTCCTTACCCGGGAAGGGAGGGTTGTGTGAACCAAGGGACGCTTGTTTGGAAGGGTCTACGTATGCAGGGCGGGTACAGGGCTGGAGTGGGAGGGAAGCGTCCAAAAAATCCCCCACGGGATTGGGGAGGAGGGTCTCTGCTGAGTGTGCGCCCCACCTGGGACCAGGTTTCCGTCTAGAAACAGACTCTACATCCCCATATCGAGAGGTGCGTGGAGGAGACCCTAGTGCCAGGAGGGAGCATCATGGTTTCTCAGTGATGGCCTCTTGGCGGGGCAGAGTCGGTGCGGTGCGTGGGCGCTTCTCCCTTCCCGCCTCTGGTTCCCGCCGGCCCTGCCTCACCGAGTCGGCCTCCTAAACCAAGAGCCAGCGCCCTCCCCTTCCCCCGCCAGTCGTGACCACACAGCTAAGCCAGCCTCCAGGTCTAGAAGCTTCTGCCACCAGACTGGAGGAGCGGCCCTAGCTCTTTGGGCTTCTGTAACTCCAGCTCTGAGTAGAGCGAGGCTTTGCTGTGTGCCAGGGTTCCAGGGCCTGCCCTAGGATCCAGGGGAGAGTCTCAGGGAGCTAGGGGACAGTTGAAGCATCTTTCAAGCAGCCCCCTTCCCACCCAACACCCTGGCGGCCCCCACCTCACTCTGGCCTCACACTTCTGGACCGGTGGTTGCTGCCATGAGGCATTTCCATGAGGCTGCACACGCACCCAGGCGTTAGACTTGTCTGCAGAAAATCCACCCGCAGCCCCTCCTCAACCTTAGCCTAAGCTTTGCTGAGATGGAGCCTCCAGTTCAACGCAGGCTGTGCTTTGGCCAGGTGGCCAAGAACCTGCAACTAGCTGGAGAAGAGCCACACCCTCTGGGCCTCACCTGTGGCTGCAGGACCATAAGAGGGTCATCCATATTCTGTTTGAAGCCAATTCCCAGAACATCAGGTACAGCCAGAGTCAAAGATAGTTAAAAGGAAGGAGACATAACTTGGCCTGAGACCATTTACCCATGGCTCAGGATCAGCTGGGTTTGGTTCTGCCCCATGGGACACTCAGGCAGAGGCTGGAACTCCTCAGGCAGTGGGGCATAGCTGGGTCATGTTTGGTCTGACCCTCCCTCCATGGAGCCCTCCCTCCACGGAGAATAACTCAGTCTTCCTTTCTATGGGATACAGAACTGGACTTAGAATCTCTACATTCCCCACCACCCACCTAGTGTAGACAATACTTAAATAAAACATACTTGTGGAATATGTTCTCCATTCATTCCATGAGTATTTACTAAGCACCTGCTGCATGCCTGGCACTTGAGAAACCTTGTTGATAACAATGATCACCACTGTTTTATTCAAAGATCTGAACTAGACACTATGCTTAATTTTTTTTTTAAGAGACCGATTCTCCCTGTGTTGCCTAGGCTATTCACAGGCAGGACCATAGCTCACAGCCTGGAACTCCTGGCCTTAAAAGATCCTCCTGCAGTCTCCCTGTAGCTGGAACTTCAAGTGCTCCCACTGCACCTGTTCATACTTAATTTTTTTGAACTACTATTCATGTACCATAAAATTGCCATTTTAAAGTGTACAATTTAGTGGTTTGTCATAGGTTCACAAGGGCCATGCATGATTTTAAATTCTCAAAATCTATGGGAATGGATTATTATCTATATTTAATAAATAATAAAGCTAGGGTCCAAAGAAGCTAAATAACTTGCCCATGATTAGCCAATTGGGAACTGGCAGAGTGAAGAAGCCAGGCAGCTGAGAACAAGCTTGACTCTGAGCAAGAGGCTTGACTGCCTCTTAGGGTAGGGCCAGGTGATAGAAAGTCACCAGTGAAATAAGGCCCTGTTGGAGAGCACAACAATAAGGAGCCATTGCAGCTCGTTGAGCAGGTGAGTAGTGAGACTGAAGTTCTAACCAAGTAATTTTGCAAAGTGACAAATTTTGGAATAGCAGCCCCAGGGGCTCTTTCTTGAAAGATGTAGGGGCATGTTTGTATCATTCCATTCCCCTTAGTTATTGCATTTTCATTGCTGTTATCTTTGGCAAAAAAAAAAAAAAAAACCTATTTTGGGCACCTGCTCTGTGCCAGGCACTCTTCTAGGCTCGGAGAATAAAAGGGTGAAAAGACATAGTGTCTATCCCCAAAGAGTTCCCAGGCCAGTAGGGCCCCATGTGAGCTAGACCACAGGGCACCTTGAGGTATGCATTAAGGAGGTATAAAGGGCTCCAAAACAGAGAAGAATAACCAACCATTCTGCCCTAGGAGTGGGAACAAGGGCAGGTCAGGGAAAACTGCAAGAAGGAGCTGACACTGAGATAGACATTGGAGATGATGTCTTGGTTCAGTGGTTCCCAACCGTTTCCGCACCAGGGACTGGTTTCATTGAAGACTATTTTTACACAGATGGGGTGGAGGGGGAGTGGTTTGGGGATGAGTCAAGTGCATTACATTTATTATGTACTTTATTTCTATTATTATTACATTGTAATATATAATGAAATAATTACATAAGTCACCATAATGCGGAACGAGTGGGAGCCCTGAGCTTGTTTTCCTACAACTAGACAGTCCCATCTGGGAGTGATGGGAGACAGTGACAGACAAAGTTTCACTTTGGTCCCTGACTGCTCACCTCCTGCTGTGTGGCTTGGTTCCTAACAGGCCATAGACCAGTATCAGTACATGGCCCAGGGGCGGGGACCACAGTCTTAGTTTCCCTCAGAAGCAGATCCTGAGACAAAGATTTGAATGTGAGTAGGTTGTTTGGGAGATGTCTTAGTATGTTACTATTGTTGTAACAAAATACTCTAGACTGAGTTATTTACAGAAAAAATTTATTTCTCACAGTGCTAGAGGCCGAGATGTCTAAGATCAAAGTGCCAGCAAGTATGATGTCTCTGCTTCCAAGATGGCACCTTGTTGCTGCATCTTCCAGAGAAGCAAACACTGCATCCTCCCATATCAGAAGGTCGAAGGCCAAAAGGGGGCCTCACTAGCTCCCGTGGGCCCCTTTGCAGAGCCTCCTAAAGGCCCCACTTCATAGTATTGTTACATTGGCAATTAAGTTTCAACACATAAATTTTGGAGGGGACACTACAGAAGGATAAGGAGATACCCTGTGGGGAATGTGGAGGTGAGATAGGGAAGGAAAGGAGCTAATATAATGTGCTTTATCAAGCCAGTTATTGCTGGGGGACAACAGGCCTCACTCTCACCAAAGAACTCTGGGAGACTGTAAACATACCTTAAACTTTGCCATCAGAGAGGCAAGGGTGCTGGGATCTTTACAGCGCTTCTTCCAGTCATCAGGGCAGTGGCTGGGAGCTGCTTCTGGAGGTGTTGATTTCCTGGCACTTTTGGCCTGATCAGCACAGAGTGGCAGTGCAGGTTCTGGAAGCCAGAGAAAGCTCCAGGCAAAGAAATGCAGGAGGTGGCAGTGGGATGTGGGGAACTGGAGCACACTAAAGTAAAGGGGCAGGATGGGGCAGGGCACCGACCAGAGACTGAGGGCCAGAGATCTGTGAATGGGGACCATAGTGCAGCTGGAGCACAGGACAGCTGTATGTAGAATATGAGGCCAGGGGGTGAGCCCCAGAACATAAAACTTGCTGATCAGGCCCAGGAGAAAAAAATCCTCCCAGTCTCTTCTCAGATGAATTGCTAATGGTTCGAAAGCAGCCCCAGACAGATGTTGCCCTTGGAGGGATTATTTCTCCTTTGAGAACTATGATAGTTCTGAGTAACCATGGTCATCCATGATGTCCAGCCAGTGGGTGAGCCAGCAGGTGCTGCAGACATGCTGTCTGGGCCTGGCAGCCAAATTAGAACCAACCATGGCCCTGGCCCACCAACCACGTAACTGCCGCTCATCTCTCTGATTAGGAACTACAAGCACGGAATGGGCCATGCCCAGAAGATCCGGAATAATAAGCGTCAGCGTTTTGCCTTTGCCATCCAAGACTGCAAACACGCTCTCATCTGACCTAATCCACGGTGTTAATGACGGCAGAGCAATTTCAAGAGGCTACTCACAGCATTGATAAGGAGAGGAAAAGCACCACTGGTTTAGGAGGCAGAGCTCCTCACAGAAGAGGCAGCTGCTGTCCCTCCTCCCCTCTCTAGCCACATCTTGTAAATGCTGAGGATGGGGATGGAGGAGAAAAGGGCATGAAGAGTGGAAATGGGCAAGTGCCTGGGATGGGGGAGGAGGGGTGCCCATACTGCACTTTAGAACAAACTAGGAAAAAGGCATTCTTTTTACTCTGAGTAAATGCAACCTTGAGGCAGGTAGGGTATGCGGCTTTTTGGGCTGAGTGTGGGCGGGTTTTGAGCTCCCACCTACCCTCCTGTCTGGGTGCCTTTATACAGTAAACACCTTGCACTGCTGTACATGGCAGCCCCAGGGACAGAAGGAAAGTTAGGAGGGCATGACAGGAACTTGAAACCACCATAGCAATAAAGAGGCTGGGGAGATGCAGCATCTGATTCCATCCATTAATAGAAATCCTAGAAGGGGCTTAGGTGGAGACCATTTAGGTTAAACCCCTTCTTCTACTGAAAAGCTTCGAGAGGAGGGGGTGATGGACTCAAGGTCACCCAATGCTTCCCTTGATAAGAAATCCCACTAACAGTGAGGCCAGATGCCCACAGGCAGTGAAGTCCTGCCTCAGGAGGTGTGGTGAGAAGCCATGTTCTGCTGGGGTAGAGGAAGAGTCGAGAAGCCAGCCACCCAGCCATGGGACACTCCA